ATGGCTAGACAAAAACAAAATTGTTTACATTGGAAAAGTATAGATGGAATTTGTATGTCTTGATTATGCTTAAATTCTGGTTTGGATTTCTGCAACTACTAGACTTTGGAGGAGACAATGAATGCTTCACATTACAATAGAGAACAATTTCTAGGCCTCTATTGCCCAGGTGATTAGGTTAAAACATATCCTAGTTTGTTGAACAAACTATAATTGGCTGGGTCTGCAAACACTCTAAGACATAAAGCTGGTATTACCCAGTGTGTGCCTGTCTCAATACACTAGATTTGTACCCTGCTTTTTCTTCAGAAGTTCAAAGTTGCTTGTTGCATTTTATCACTATGCTGAGAGAGACAGCAAAGGGCCAAAGGTCACACAGTGAATTTCTATAACTGAGGATGGTCAGCCTTAGTCTCCCAATCCTACTCCTATCCTAAAACCCTATATACACTGGCTGCACCACATAAGAAACCACAAACTTCTTCCTTGGTGCCCACCAGAATCCCAGCCCTCTTTAAATGTATTAAAAACTTTATACAAAACACTAGCTTCCAGAATTATCTTTACATCCAAGAAAATCATTTGTTTCTACAAAGGCCCTGTAAGTGTTCCTAGAAAAATAGAGTAAGGAACTACAGTACATCCTAATGCATTGTTGTAAAATTGATCATCTTCTAAGAGGGAAAAAAAGTAAATCAGAAAGATAAAGAAAGGTTAATATCGATGGAGGGGCTAGATCAGGGGTAGGCAACCTTGGTTCTTTTATGACTCGTGGACTTCAACTCCCAGAATTCCTGACCCAGCTGGCTCAGGAATTCTGGGAGTTGAAGTCCACGAGTCATAAAAGAGCCAAGGTTGCCTACCCCTGGGCTAGATTAACTCACCTAGTCATCACTTTGCCTTCCGATGTTCTGGTGTTTTGTGACTAGCAATGGTTCACCATAGCAACCACATCGTACATGGAGAAGACCATCATAGCAGGGCTGTTCAGCAATCCAAAGCAAGATTTTCCCAATAGGTAAATAAATGATCCCAGGATGCTGTGCAAATATGCACTGAAATGCCTCAGTAATCTAGCACAAATTGTTTATCACCAAAGGTAGTCCTTAAGTTATGACAGCAATTACGACTGGAATTTCCATTGCTAAATAGTATGGCCATAAAGTCCAATGCCACATGACTGCATCGCTTAGCGACAGTAATCCTGGCAGTCACAGTTACCATTGTAAATCCCTGGAACTGTGTGGGTCGTTAGGTGGGAAGAGGCAGGAATCCCAGGCAGGAGCATGGATGGGTGCACAGGTGATGCTGGGAAGTGGGGGAGATTCCATTGACAGGCACTATGGAGCATGGGTTGGCTGACAGGGACTGCAGGCACATTTGAGGGCCACAGGTGGGCGGTAGGGAGTGCTAATGGGCTAGCAAGGGCCACACAGGGCACTAGAGAGTGTGGGGCTTGGGCGGCAGGGAAGTGCCATGGGTGGGTGGGCGTGCCATGCAGTGTTGGCAGGCAGATCTTGTATGTAGTACAAGATCTCATGTTCTGTAACGGGGTTCTCCAGGAGAAACAGTGGCGAAAGCGATTTACAGGAGCAACTTGCGACCTTCTCTGCCAGCTTTCCCACTGTCTTTGCTAGGGGGGAGCCAGCAGGGAAGGCCGCAAATGGTGATGATATGATTGTGGGCTGCTGCAACCATCGTAAGTGCTAGCTGGTTGCCAAGTGCCCAAATTATGATCACTTGACACAGGAGATGGGGGGGATGTGACACTTAGAACTTCAGGGACAGGTTGTAAGTAACATTCATTCAATGCCATCCTAACTTTGAACAAGTGGTTGTAATCCAAGGACTACCTATATGTAGTCAAAAATTAGAAAGTGAATATAACTGGGGGGGGGGGGAATGTGCTATTTTCACATTTACATGGAAGTCCCAATACAGGTAGTTCTCGACTTATAACCATTTGTTTAGTGACTGTTCAAAGTTACAATAGCACTGAAAAAATGACTTATGGCCATTTTCTCACACTAATGATTGTTTTAGCATCAACATTTGGATGCTTGGCCACTGGCATGTATATATAAAGGCTGCAGTATCCTGGGGTCATGTGATCACTTTTTGCAACTTTCGGGCAAGCAAAGTCAATGGAGAACTTAACCACTGCAGTGGTTCACTTAACAACTATGGCAAGAAATGTTCTAAAATGGGCAGAACTCACTTAACAACCGTCTCGCTTAGCAACAGAAATGTTTGGTTCAATTGTGGTCATAAGCTGAAGACCACCTGTACTGGATAAATTTCAGTGAATATCATTTCCTGGAAAAGCTGGAAACAACCGCAGAAGGGCAAAGGCTGTTCATTTACCAGCTGTCAGAGAAACTCTGCATTTACAACCTGTTGTATGTACTGCACAGCTCATAAACTGAAATTTAAAGGATGATCTGTTTGTTTGCTTAAATATAAAAGCCATATCACCACTGTCACTGAGCATCCTTTCATAGGAGAAAACTATTATTAACTATTTTAAATTATAATAATACATAAGTGGTTCACAATGAGGAAAAGATTTATTATTGCAGGTTTGAAGGAGGAGGTTACCAAGCCATAATCATTTTATTAATATAGAATTGTCATTTAATGTAATTCTGTACTTCAGCTATTTCACCCTTTCTAAAAAAAAATTAGGAGCAATATTTCCTATTCCCTGTACGTAGGTTTTTGCCACTTTAATTAGCAAAGATGACTCCAAGTCATATTGCAAAGAAAGCTACCATTAGCTTCCATAAGGCAATTGTTCTGATTAATGTACAGTAGAAAAATAAACGGGCTTTTATAAAACCATAATAATCATGGCCTCAAGTGTATAAACTCTGTCTAAAATAGTTATGGTGAGTGATAAAACTGGGAGATTGCCAAGTAAGAGTCCCATTCCCCTCCCCATACATATTTCCATTTAAATGCTATGCATTTGACTCATATGACCCAATGCATTGTTAAAGTAGGAACTGTGCCTGTGTTACACTTTTCAGACTGAAAATGATTCACCTCTACTATGTCTTTAAAATTCACCCTCCATTTTTCCTTGTAACATACAGTTTTTCCTTGTAACATACAGTTTAGTAGCAAAACAACAGTTCTTTTTTTCAAGAGGCAACTGGACTTTCTTGTTTTTCTTTGAAGACATTTCGCTTCTCATCCAAGAAGCTTCTTCACTTCTGACTGTATGGTGGGGAATGGAAGGATTTATATGCCTTGCAGCCTGATCATTTGCATTCTTTTAAAGAGTCATTGAGACCATTGGAGGTTTTTCTATGTCCTCAGGGTCACCTAAATAGTGCAAATGGGTGTGGAACCTTCTTGGAACTGCTGAAAGGATTGTGTTGTAGATCAGAGATAGATGATGTCGAATCCCTCCCCCTCTGTTGAGAGAGGGCTGTTCAGTTTTGATATAGATAGCCTCTTTGACTCCTTAGAACAGTGGTGGCAAACCTATGGCACGCGTGCCAGAGGCAGCACTCGGAGCCCTCTCTGTGAGCACACGTGCTGTTGCCCCAGCCTCGCCTGCCCCCATGACCCCCTCCTCACCAGCAGCCCCCCTGGAAGAGAGTCGCCCACGAGCGTGGCCCACGCAGAGCAGCACAGCCAAGGACATGGCAGCCAGGCAGCGTAGACAAGACTCTGCCCTCACACCCCATCCTGCACAGTTGATGCTGCAGGGCACGGGCAGAGGACGTGGCTGCCATGGCACTGCTGGGCTGCCTGGGCAATCTGCAGCGGGCCCTGGAGGCGGCGAGTGGCCCTGCAGGCAGGTGGGGTGGGGGATGGGGTGGGGGCAGGGCAGGGGGTGGGGCAGGGGTGGGGCCAGTTTTGGGGCACTCTGTCTCTAAAAGGTTCGCCATCACTGCCTTAGAACTTGAATGGAACAAATAGTTTCTACCCATTATTGTTTCTATTTATCCACTGTCCCACAATTATTATTTAGAAGTCAAGTTGGTAAAGCAATTATTATTGCACCATAACAAACAAACAAATCTCTGCTATGAGTTATTAATATATTCACCTCTGTTTTCAGTGGGATTTCTTTCTATGTAAGTGAGGATCAGACCACTGCCAAAGCAGAAGAAATTGGATGGTATTCATGAAGCAAATGTAAGAGACTATGGGAAATTGTTCTTAATATACAATGTTCTACTCCCTTTTTGTTAGAAGAACAATACAGAAGAAAAAGAATTTAGGAGTCTACCACAGAGTATAAGCACATACTAATTATTAATTATTATTACACTAAAAACACATATAAGTGCTTACTCTTCTATGTCTCCAGGAAATAGGGTTTGTGGTTTTTTTTTTAAAAAAAATCCACTGAAGGACATAGGCTAGTTATTTACAATTAGTCCATATACTGAGGGACTGAATCTTTTTCACTACCTCTACAAACATCCTGAACTCAAAAAATGGAATACATTTACTCACTTCAATGATACCAGAATTCTTTATACTATCATGCCTGTTACTATTGCCACTTGTTTCAACGACAAATTTAATTGATTTCTCTTCTTGACTGTGACCAACCAATATAATTTAATACACTGCATGTCTACTCTGTGATATAATGTCAACACTTCATAAATTAGAATGTCTACTAATTTCCCAGTGCAGAAATCAGCGTTTGCTAATGATGCATCAGAAATTTAGCTTTAAAAGTAAATTAAGTGCTCATTGCCTCAAACATAAATATTAATTCCAATTCCATGCTGAATTTCTCTGTCTTGAATGTCTAGGCCCTATTATTCAGCATTTGTGTGCTCCATGTCCTTATTTAACCTAACCAACTAACCAACCAAACCCATAAACAAAAAAATTGGGCTAAAAACACTGGCTTCTGTAATGATCAAAACCTGTATTTTCTCTCCTTCTAAATTATAATGTGCCTGAGGTGGAACAGAGAAAAACAGAGTTCAAGTTGTTGTATTTAACTTGAACCTTCTGTGATTACATACCTGCAGGGAAGCAAAATCTTTAGAAGCACAGGCTCCAAGAATAGCAGCACCCATTAGCACAGACTCCACTTCTTGGGCTAGAACAACAGGCATGCCTAGACAAAGACAACAAATCAGTTAAAGGGCCTGAGGTATGAAGCATGTAAGACACACCTCTCCCTGAAATATTAAAGCAGTTGCCTCTTTTTAAAGGCTGATATGGTTTCTTGGTATGATCTTATTGGTGTCCCCTAAGCATTAAATGCAAGCCAAATTGAATGTGGAAATAGCCAGGGGCAGCATTAAGAAACCTGCAGTGATATATGTATACTGTCTTAGGGTGCATAGATGAAATTAGTAGGTTTTCTGTGGTAAAAAATATTTTGACAAATAAAATTGTTTAAACTTGTGGAGCAACTAAATTATAAAATGGCTTTACAGCTGTGGTGCTTTAAATGTATTTTTAATTTACTTGGTGCTTATGTTTCACATTGTAAGTGCCTTCGAACAATGAATGTATTCATCTTGCCCTCTGAACAATATGAAGCTGAGGCTTTTAAATGTTCTATGAAATTATCTATTGGTAGCCCGTATAATTGGCTAATGGGTACTTGCATTTAACAGTAATATATTCAGTATTTCCCTGTCTTTTCCTGGAAGAATAGGGGATTGATACAGGAATGTTAGCTATTTTATCAGATAGATTTTAATGAGGGCAACAGAACCAAGAGCATTTTAGTCAGATGAACTCTGACATCCTATGTCAATCACAGTTCCTACAATCAGGAAAAATTCCAAAGCTGCAGAAAGGCCTCTTTGTCCAACATTCTGCTTGGCTATTAGATACAGTCAAAGGACCCCAGTTTAAAATTTAATCAGAATTATCTATTAATAGATCTTTAATTTTAGACATCAGAAAGAGCTCTTGGTTCCAAAGCTATTTGAATTAGATAAGGAAAAAGGTCCAATCACATTGGACAAATAGAAAAGACCGCTGTGGCAACAGCCTGTTGTGCATATCTAGCTCAGGTCAAGACCTTATATCATTTGGTTCACTTTTTCTGCTTTCAAGAAATGTAATTACTTAATGCTGATTTTGATCTCAGTTCCTGGTTTGATGTTGAAGAGATGCAAATCTAAAAGCAAAATACCCAGAGCTCAAGCTTTAGACCTGATCTAAACCATATTGGTTCCTCTGAAGAATAAAGAGCTCATATGGTTCATGGTTTGCTTTTAATCCCAACCTTTTAGAACTGTAGAAATACATTTTCCACAGGTGAAATACATATTCTTTTTAACCACAAGATACTGTATATCCAAAAATACTCATGCGTAAATGACGTTAGGTGAGTTAGGATCTCCTCTCATAGAGAGGTAACTTGTTATAAATGCTCTTGACATTTTGATATCTTCTTCTGATTTAAAATGTGCCGATTTTATATATCTGAAAGATTTGATAAATGGCAAATACTAACACACCACTGAATACTATGAATTAAATGCAGCTGCTTGCCTATTTTGAATCAATAGACATATTAAATCCTACAACACATGGTTTACTGTACATGGTTGCATTACTTGACTATTTAAAATTATTCCTTTATTTTCAACAAATTATTGCGAAATAATCCATCAACAAAATACAACTGTAATAATATTTCTGGGCAGCACAAGAAATATTATTTCACAACGGTACCTACTCTGAACCATTTCAATTCCTGGTATTTACTTATCTTTATATAGGAATTTGTTTTTGATTAAATCAGACTAATCCATTAATTTCAGCACCATTTATAATTATTGCCATGCTTGTCAGAACAATCTAAAAGGATAAATCCTGAAGATTCTCCTTACAAAATAGAGGCTTTGCTACTGCACTTTAGCTCTTCTCAGATTTTTTTGAGAGTCCAATGTAATAGTGTCCCTTTTTTCACTGAATTTTTTTTTTATCTATCCTAGTTGCATCTAGCTTTACTATTAATATTAACCAGTACAAGTAAAATATACAATGGCAGACTCCCAATCTACAGGTAGTCCTTGACTTATGATTACAATGAACCCCAAATTTCCGTGGCTAAGTAAGACAGTTCTTGAGTGAGCTTTGCCCCACTTTATGACCGTTCTTGCCAGTGACTCTTAAGTGAGTCACTGAAGTTGTTAAGTTAATAACAAGGTTGTTAAGTAAACCTGGCTTCCCCACTGACTTTGCTTGTCAGAAGATCACAAAAGATGATCACATGACTCCAGGACGCTGCAACTGTCATAAATATATGCCAGCTGCCAAGTGCCCAAATTGGAGATGTTGCAACATATAAGTGTGAAAAACATAACTCACTTTTTTCAGTGCCATTGTAACTTTGAACAGTAACTAAACCAGGGGTCTTCAAACTTGCCCTTTTATGACTTGTGGACTTCAACTCCCAGAATGCCTGGCTGAGGAATTCTGGGAGTTGAAGTCCACAAGTCATAAAAGGGCCAAGCTTGAAGACCCCTGAACTAAACAAATGGTTGCAAGTCAAGGGCCTACCTGTATTGGAAAGTTTATGACTTGTTTGCTGATTATTTTTATGAACTTGTCATAATATTCACCCTGCAATTTCATCAGCCAAGGAACAGGAAAGCAAGACTCAGTCTACTGCTAATTTCCTTTGCTGTATTCTGAAACTTACCAACGATGTCCGCATGCATTTGGACAAAGAGAGGGTTCTTGCTCAGACCACCACACATAAAGAGAGTGTTGATACGATGCCCTGCGGCTTGCATTGTTTCTACAATATGTCTGGTTCCCAACTTAAATGAAACAGAACATAAAGAAATATCTATTAACAAAAAATGCTACAGGTAAAATGGTTCTTTGAAAAGCTGAAAAGCCATAGTTATTTCCACTGAGAAGAAAGAAGAAAGAAGAGTTTTTAAGAAACATTGCATTTCTAAGTTTTCTGCAATATTAAATTGTCCATCTACGCCTCCAGATTAATTGTAAGACAGACATTAGCTTACAAGAAAAACATACACAGAAGTACATCCTCTTCCTCATTCACAAATAGTTGAAGAAATGCAGGAATTAACACTGTTAAACATAGAGCATTCATATTTTTTTATCTCTCTTTTATATCCATGTTAATACATTTTTGTTTAGAAATCAATTTAGTTATAATAGCTCCAATCAAGAGTACTTTTTTCAACTCTAACCTTTGTTTTACCTTCTGAAAAAGTAAAATTAAAACAATAGAAATAAACGTTTAAATGGGTTTACGGGATTTTTGTTTCACATTTCCAGCTCACGCTGAGAAACCCTTTGAACGCTGTGTATTTAAAATTGTTTTTTGAATTTCAACTGAAAGAAAATAAAAAACCTCAAAAGTAACATTACTGCCAAATCTACCCTTTGCCAAACTCATAATGCTAAAGAATTCCCTCAGCATTTAACACTGAACATCTTCTGAAGCATGGCCAAAGTTCATTGTAAGATTTACAATGTACTACAAATGCCTGTACAGACTCCGCCAGGATGTTTAAGAAAAGCAGAGTTAAAGCTTCAATTGTTTATTTCATCCTGATTAAGTTTCACAGGAATTTTGATTTAAGATAGGTAGTTCTGGCAAACTTTTAACATTAGCAAGGGCATCTAATGGAAAGCACAATACAATTAATGACACACAATACATTAATTAACTATATTAGATGTGGATGATGGGAAATGTAATCCAACTCTTCTGGAGATCATTAGACTGAGGAAAACTATCCTATGCCCATTACTTTCATTACTAATGGACAGGTATTCACTTTTAAAAATTGTGTCTTGCTTTGAGATTGTGAATGGTTTTATTCTTAACTATTACAATTTTACCACTTGAGAGCACTGTGGATATTTTTCAGAATTCCCACCACCTATATTTATCTAGATATCTGTAACATTAACTGAACTTAATATTTATAATATCTCTACACACACAAAAATAATCTTTTCCTCATCTCAAGCCTAATTGTTCTGTTTTTCTTTGCAATATGACACCCACTAAAATTATCCTTACGTTTGCCTGAAAAAGGTCACAGCAAAGTTTAAGATGAAACTACCTCATTTTTTTTGAGTTAACATCAATATGGTTAATATAGATTCATTAACTTATACATTACTACAGGTAGTCCTCAATTTACAACCACAATTGAGCCCAAATATTCTGTTGTTAAGTGAGACATTTGTTAAGATTTGCTCCATATTATAAACTTTCTTGCCATCATTGTTAAATGAATCATTGCAGTTGTTAAATTAGTTAACACAACTGTTAAGTGAAACTGGCTTCGCTATTGACTTTGCTTGTCAGAAGGTCGCAAAAGAGGATCATATGACCTGAGACACTGCAACTGTCATAAATACAAGTCAGTTGTCAAGTATCTGAATTTTGATCACGTGACCATGGGGACGCTGCAACGGTTGTAAGTGTGAAAAACAGTCATAAGCCACTTTTTTCAGTAGCGTGACTTTGAACAGTCACTAAACAAACTGTTGTAAGTCGAGGACTACCTGTATATGGAAAACTATGCAAGCTAAGAGATATCCCATGCAAATGCCACTTTCCTGCAAAATCCCTTTACTAGAAAGAAAACAGATGAGCTTTTAGAGAGTTTCAATGATATTTAATACATGTGAACAGCATGCGGCCTGAGGTTGTATATAGTTGTAAGTTAATATATTGTGACTGTAATATTTTGATTCCTATAAAAGAGTGACTAATTTCCAAGTATGAAAGTTATACTTGCAAAATGCCCTTAAGCATTAAAAGTAATATTTTCTGAATGTTACAGAAAATAGCAGGCCCTGATCTATTGGTTTTCTTTGTTGTTTTAGTTGTTACAATATTAAGAACCAGCTCTGTATATCAGTGAGTAATAACACACACACACACATACACACACACACACACATTATTGTGCATTACATTATATATGCAATACCTCTGTAAAAATAACACAGAAGGGACTAGTGAGTTTAATTTCAAAGCACAATAGAATCTAGTATAAAGGAACACTAGAATAATAATAGATGGATTTCCCAGGATACCCAACTGAGAAAACTTCCACCTCATTAGCATAAAATAATGACATAGTGCTTGTTTGCCAAAGAAGTATTGTAGTCTTTCACAAGATAATATTAGTAGTTCTCATTTTCTGAGAAATGATTTGCATTTCTTATTTAAATCAAAAAGACTGGCATGAAAGTACACCACTGTTGTACTATCAAAGAACAGTAATAGTAAGATTAGCAAATATACATTCTAACTATATATAAAGTAATTCTGTTTGTGTCCGGGGAAGTGTTAAAACTGTGCAAATGGATTTCAAGAAATTGGTCTCATTGCTAAACTTGGCAGAGTAATATTACGGAACACTCTAACAAAGAACAGAAACTATTGGACTATGATAAAAAAAAAGTTACAGTTCCGTAACAGATTTGATAGATATCTGTAAGGTTGTATCAATTATAAATGTCCACATATGAGGAAGGTGAAGCAAATATGTGTGTGTGCGTATGTGTGTGTGTTATGTATGTATATGGGTAAATACTGTGTACTCACAGTAAAAAATGACCATAAAGTTTATCTTATCTAACTGGGGCACCACCCAAAGGTGTGCATAGACCCTCCTGGCTGCAACTGCTGCCTGCTCTTTGAGCAGGAGCCACGAGTCCAGGAGGCCCCCCACATTTTGCACTGGATCTGTTTTGGGCAGTGCTGCCCCATCCAAAACCAAAGATGAAAATCCTTGTCTCTGGGGGAATCCAAATATCCACAGCCATTCCATCTTGCTACAGTTGAGTCAGAGTCCATTTCATCCAATCCAGTACCTAACAGCCCCCATAGGACATCCATGGCATTTCTGAGGAAGCCTTTTTAAAAACAAACAAACAAACTTTGAACTGGGTCCAAATTAGTGTTGTTTGATGTTCCAGCAAAAAGCTAATCCTAGAAATCTACAGTCTATCTAATCCTTGCCAGGCACCATATCCTGGGATTTTTAAAAAAGTTATGTAGAAATATTATGTATAATGAATACTAGAAAAGTATTGGAAGATCACAGGATCATCTGCCATTCTATTTCACAAGGAAAAGGAAAAGCAAAAGCAAAATCTAATTAATTACTACCTACTAATGGTCTTCACAATTCCCTTCCTTTTTGCCGTTTGTTGAATGGGAAAATAAAATGGCCACTGGAATTACCTCAGCCATAAAAACTGAACTACTCATATGCAACAGTATCTTGAAAAGTAAGTGAAATAGGTTTTTTGTGTTTTTAGCTTCTAAATTCTTGGCCTGAGATAGAAAAACCTGCGTTCCAGATGTATAAGGCTGCCTCCTAAAAATTCAAGTACAACAAATCAATCAATAGTACCAGTAGTCCACACTACTGCTTCTGACACGACCAAATTATCATTGCAGTCCGTATCTCTCAATCAAATGAATTTCCCCCTGTTGAACAGGAGTTTATATGGAATTAACCACAAGGAAGACAGATTTGGAGAGGAGACAACATAAATACAAATGTAAACACATTTGAAATTTCTTTTCTTTTTGTACTTTCCTCTTTTTAAAAATAAAAATTGCCACACTGCCTGCATTACTCCATAGAATAATATTAGGTTTAGGCCAGGGGTAGGCAACCTTGGCTCTTTTATGTCTCGTGGACTTCAACTCCCAGAATTCCTGAGCCAGCCATGCTGGCTCAGGAATTCTGGGAGTTGAAGTCCACAAGTCATAAAAGAGCCAAGATTGCCTACCCCTTGTTTAGGCCATTGCGGGAGAGGCTAGTGCTGATAGCTATTTCTACAGGATACCGATGCTACCATTTGCAGCAACAACAAAAAGAAAAAAAAAAACCCTCAATGCTATTAGGGTTAGATAAATTGTTTCAGTTTCTCCATTCACAAATAGGCCTAAGAATTTCAACAGTCATTTGCTATGAAAAAAAATAATATATTATGACCCCCCCAAGAAAAGAACATTTCCCATAAATCTTAGGCAAAATTTACTGAACTTACCGCAATGGCTTGAACTGTAGCTAGATAAATAAGAGCAAGATCATCAAGACTTTGAGATAGTGTCAGTCCCACTACCTGAAGGAAACAAGAACATTTTTGTACTTACTAATTTCCTTTCCATGAGAAGATCCCAATACATTTTATCATAGAAGTAATTTATGGATTTCATTATCACATGGTTTGGTAATAAGCTCTAGCTTGAATTGCTTGGATTGGATAAATTTAAGAATACAGGTCTTTAAAAAGGCACTCATCTTCAGGATTTATTGTTACTTCCAAGTTGGGAAAATAATGCCAGTTGCAAGGGAACAACATAGATACTGGGGTACATAGAGGATAAATAGACTTGCCATTTTTTATGAATGGGGAACTGAAAACTGAGACAGACATCAATTTAGTGTGTTTTGAAGGAAAGCAATTAGCGTTTCTCCTTGCTTATTTTTATTGCAAGTTTCAGTTTAACTTCAAGCACTATGCATTTTCCCACGAAACCATCATAAACAGAAATCAAAATGAGCAGTTGTCCCAAAAGCAAAAGAATTAATGCCATCTAAAAAGCATGCCACCTTTAAGGTTTAATATGTGGAACATGAGATTGAATCCAATCTAATAAGTGACCTGATAAACATCACCTTTTTGCTATATTACGAGTACTGCAGAGTAAGCGCAAAAACTATTTGAAAACTCATGTATCCTATGAAACGTCTCTTCAAGTATACTCTTGTGAGCCACAAACATAGCATTCAACTAAAAAAGAACTTGGATGCAGAAAATAATTTTTGTGGAAGAACATAGAATACTATAGAATAGCGGGACTGGAAGGGACCTTGGAGGTCTTCTAGTCCAACCCCCTGCTTAAGAAGGAGACCATTTTCCATTTCAGAGAAATGATTATCTAACCTCCAGAAGCTAGGCATTTGTGAAAGGGTAATGTTTGTAAATGGAAATGCTTGAGTGCAGAAAGAAGCTGGCAGATGAGGTTTGGATCCAGAGATTAGTAAGAAATACAGTGGCTCAACAGTTTTATACTGAATTCAAGATTTTTACCAGGATGAAATTCTCTCTCTGTCCAAGTCTTCATATGCCTAATAAAGCTTTTATAATGTGGCACATAGACTTACTGTATATACTTCCCACTCTATGTAACCGCAAAAAACAGCCTCTCGTCTTTGTAGACCTATCATATTCTTCTATATCTTTAACTGCATTTTTGCTGTTATATTCAGCAGCAATTATACCGTAATTTGGAATTTGCTGCTTATCAAATCCCTACAAATTTCAGCTAATCCTATAAAATCATATAAAACTATGCAAAATTAAAAAAAATGGCAACACAAGTTTTATATGTATAGGTAATGTTTTACCATTATATTTTAATGATAACAGAATTACATATAACTTGGTGTTTTTTTTCCATCTTTTTCAGTTTGGATGTCAACAATCATTTCAGGAAAAACATTGTGTAGGATTTTCAAATAAGAATGATAAAATATTTAAAATAATGCTAATTTCATGGTCTTATTTTATACAATTATTCTGTTTTCACCCTTTTACAACAACAGACTGTTTCTTACCGTGCCCTTTAGAGTCAAATCTGCAAGGGGAGATCGGTTGCCATGGAAATCTGGCCAAACATGTAAATCAACAGTGAGCAAACCCACAGGCAAAGATTTCTTAATCAGATCCAGGTGACCATTCAAGTATGTATATATACTTTGAGCTCTGCAAGAAAAACAAATGAAAAAAAAAGGGAGTGAGCAGAGCTGGGGGAGAAAGGTTATTCTCTGAACATATTGCATGATTTGGATTCCCAATAAGAAGTACACAAACTAGGAAAGGCTTGCAAAATGAAACTGTAAAGGAATAAAGAAAGAGAATATTAATATATTACTTGATGTATGGGGTTTATACAGGGGTCTGAAACAGAATTAGGAGATAATTTCAATACCAGCAAGAAAATGAGCTACACTAAAATGCTAAAACACAGTTTGCTGTAATCAAGTCTTGTTCAGAATTAGACTCTCAAATTGCAAAAGGTTAACTAAGTCTTAATGACATTTTATATTGCTATCTATACACTGACTGTCCAGCTAGAAGTTTAAGGACTATTATCTTTGTGCAATCAGAGTAGCGCTGGAAGGGATCTTGGAGGTCTTCTAGTCCAACCCCCTGTTCAAGCAGGAGACCTTATACCATTTCAGACAAATGACTGTTGCTGGTCTACTAATTTAATCACTTTGTCAAAGAATGAAATAAGATTGGTTTGGCATTATCTGTTTTTAACAAACCAATGCTGATTTTTAGTTATAACTTTATTTGTTTCTAGATGTCTGTAGATCTGGGTTTTTTTATTATCTTTTCCAGTATCTTCCCAGGTATTGATGTTAAGTTAATTGGTCTGTAATTTCTTGGGTCTGTTTGTTTTCCTTGTTTGAAGATGGGAACCACTTTCTTCCATGAAGAAAGATGTGTACTTTGTGAGATCACATGAGAACAAGTGATTTATATGTGAGACCACATATAAATACATGTGATTTATATACACAACTTTAACAGAGAGATTAAATGGTGAAATACTCATGCGAGTTGGGATATTTAGCAGGCACAATGCAAATTCCACAGCCTCATCCACTGAAGGCTTGGATGCAATCCAGATAATATGCACTGGGTTTAATTTCATTAATTTCAAGTGGAACTTAAGTGTGCTTAACTTTCTCCAGTATGCGCCCAGAGGTTGAAAGCCAAAGAAAGCAAAACATGCCAAATCTCACTGAAATCAACTGGAACAGCAATCTAGCCTCATAATGCCTGCACTGACATGCCAATGGAACTTGCTCTTACCACTTTTATACATGCCTAAAAACCTTTTGAGCAGCTTTCTAATTTTTATCATTGGTTTTACCTTCTTTATCAAAGTATTGAAGACTTTCCATCTGCAGAGAGATTGGCCAAAATAGCATCTCCATCTAATTATAACGGACTAATCAATGTCTCAGTTCTGGAGGTCTAAATGGTGATATTCATTTAGCCCCAGCCATGCACTAACGAGTTCCCTGTGGGAATTTGGCATGTGTTTACTATTCTGACTTCTGACCTCCTTGCAGCTGTATATTTATATTCTACATTTAAGCATTCAGCTTCACATTGTTTCAATTAGATCTTACCATGTGTTTGCTATCGGATGGTATCATTCAAAATGAAGTACACTTGGAACACATTAAAATAGCTAATTTACTTCATTATTCATATACTTTAAAGTTTTTTAAAACATTATTGTTATATTAATGTGATGTCTTGTATGTGGGGCGGGGGGAGTCATAGCTTGAAAGTTGTTAAAATTCTTTCGTAGAATTATTTCATTTTCATTCTTTACTGTGTTGCCCAGCATAACTGTTCAATGAAAGAGGACAAGAAAAAAGATAATGAAAAACAGGCTTCAGTGACGTAGCACTGATTTCAAACAGAGAACATGGGACAATTCAAATATATTTCACAAGAAGTTAGGTCATGAAGCTGTAACAGTCCATAAATTCATCTAGAACAGGCATGTCAAACTCACAATGTCACATGACGTCGCATGATGTATCGAGACTTTTGCCCCATTGCCAGCAGTTAATAATAATAATAAAATTGGAAGGGACCTTGGAGGTCATCACCCCCTGCTCAGGCAGGAAATCCTATACCATTTCAGACAAATGGCTGTCCAGTCTCTTCTTAAATCTTCCAGTGTTGGAGGCAGGTTGTTCCACTGGTTAATTGTTCTAACTGTCAGGAAGTTTCTCCTTAGTTCTAGGTTGCTTCTCTCCTTGATTAGTTTTTGGCATGACGCACCCGGCCCGCAGACCAGCAGTTTGACATGCTTGATCTAGAATTTACACTCATTAAGTATCCCAAAAGTAACCTTTTTCTGGATGAAGGTATTTATGAAGGTATTTCAGGCCTTTATTATTTTTATAAACAACTCAAGGCAGTAGCAAACATATCCAGCACTTATTTGTCCTATTTTCTCCACAATAACAACCCTGTGAGTGGGTTGAGCTGAGAGAGAAGGACTGGCCCAAAATTACCTAGCTGGCTTCATGGCTAAGGCAGGACTTGAACTTGTAGTCTCTTGCTTTCTAGCCTAATGCCTTAATCAGTGGACCTTGAGTGAGATTGTAAAATGGTCTTGGAAAAATTTCTCAGGTCAAAACAATCCTATGTGTTATCTGCAGTCAAACACACCTCTGTGAGGGAGATGGGTAATTTCTGAATTTGATAAATAAATAAATTTGTCTATAAACTTAATATATTGCTATACCAATGATTAAATATTCTGTAACATCAACTGGCAAAGCTAATACATCCATAAAAATATACAATAATATTTTTAAAGACTTCTATGTTACTGGTCTTCAAAAGATATATTAAAGAAAATTAACAAAAAATGTAAATTCTTTGGGGGCCATGTTCTCAAACAATGAAATCTCATTTGCTGCAAAATAAGTGCACAATTTACAAAAAATTGCTTTTGTAAGACTGCTTTTATACGAGCAATTATTGTGGTAAGGTAGCGATTAATTATTTAAATTGCATTAATTTTAAAATTAATTTTAATTTAATTAATTAATTAATTAGCACTTCGTTTGTACAATTTCCCCACTGAAAGAAAATGGAAAAAGAACTACAGGAACAAAAGGGAACATAGAGAGTAGAACATAAGAACGGTTTCTTATTAATATTATATTGAAAAAAATGAAACATCTATTATGAGAAATGAAAACAGGAGGAATGATATGACCCTCTGAAATGATTATTTGGGTGTGTAGCTCACTTTTCTATTTAAATGTTATAAAAATAAAGAAACAAGAATGGTCTGTGGAGATAAGAATTGGTTGTTCATATAGTTTGCCCCTGACACAGTTCTTATTCTGATCTTCTTTCATTGCAGTATTATTTTATCTGGAGATTGCCTGGACCTGCTTGGTGTTTCAGGCGCTTTAAAGAGTATTAAAATCTCATGTGTTTAACTATATGATTCTCTCCATTTAACCTAATTACTTGATATTCAGAATATACAAACAAATGTCTGTCATATTTATATGCCACCACTGATTCTACAAAGACTCCCAAGCAACAAAATAAACATAAAATCCTTAAAGTGGAAAATCAGTGAAACATCACCTCACTATCACATGGCATCTTTATTAAGTGGCCAACCCCATTTGCCATTGTCTCCTTCCCAGGCCTGACAGAATGTAACTGGTCCAAGGTCACCCAGCTGCCTTTGCACCTATGGTGGGACTAGAACTCACAGTCTCCCACTTTTTATCTTGGTGTCTTAATCACTATACCAAACTGGCTCTCTCATAGCATATATTGCAGTGGTGGCGAACCTATGGCACAGTGCCAGAGACGGCACTCAGAGCCCTCTCTGTGGGCACGCACACCATCATCCCAGCCCCGCCTCCCCCATGGCCCCCTCCTCACAGCAGCCCCCCCCAGAGGAGAGTCACCCTCGAGCATGGCCCGCACAGAGCAGTGCAGCCAAGGACATGGCAGCCCGGCAGGAACATGACTCCACCCTTGCGCCCTGTCACGCGCAGTTGATGCTGCGGGGCGCAGGTGGAAGGCGGGGCTGCCATAGCACTGCTGGGCCGCTTGGGTGATCTGCGGCAGGCCGTAGAGGTGGTGGATGGCCCTGCAGGTGGGGGTGGAGCTGGGGTGGAGTGGGCAGGGGGGGCAGGGGGGCAGGGGGGGTGGAGCAGGGGTGGAGCAGGGGCAGGCAGGTGGGGAGGGGCCGGTTTATGGGCACTCGGTCTCTAAAAGGTTCGCCATCATTGATATATTGTATAGTATAAAATGGGTGTCCTTCTGTAATGTAATATTATGTAAATCTTTTAATCAGACCACCTCTCTGTCCAGCTTTACACAATCACATCTTAAGTAAGAATAAAATGAATTGTCTGATATTATAGAACAGGATCAATTTATTTTCAGTGTGGTAGGATACAGAGATCCTGATGTCAAAGCTAAAAATTGAAGAGATAATAATTGTCAAACCTAAACATACTCTCTATCTCATATTTTAAAAGTCCACTACTCTGTTCCATTAAACCCCCCCTGCCTAAAAACCTGCATAATGGCTAACATGCCGGCATGAGGTAATATCTCTTTTCTTTCCTTATTTCCACTTGGTCTTTTCTCTAGAGCAGTAGCCTTTGCACCGGGTGGAAATAATTTTATTTGGAGCACATTTTTAACTGAACTGATCTAATTCATATTTCCAAAACTGCTACATAGATTGGACTTTTAAAAAATATTTCAAGTTTTCAATTCAAAACTTAAATACATATCCTGAATGCGTATAAGCACACTGCACATATCTGCTAGTTGATGGGATACACGGAACAAATTATCTGTTACAAAATAGAAAAGTATGTGTGTTTAGATTTATGTGTTTGTCTATAAAAAAACCAAAATTGTTAAGATATAAAGTGAGCTATCATTCCCTAAGTAAAAGAGATATTGTGAGAGACAAAAGAATCATTGGTGAGTGGATTAAAATTGGGGAACCTGTTTGGAATGGTTCAAAAATATGGCTAAATGGGAGCTTCCGGTGTGAGGCGACGGCGATGGCGGCTAGCTTTTAGCCGTCCAGCTGGGGAAGTGTCAGAGCCGCGGAGCGCAGCGTGCATCAGCTGGCCCGCGGCTCGGAAATCCCTTCCCGGGCAAAGGGAAGG